CTGCTCCGTCCCCAGGTACCACACGGGCTCGCTGGCCTTCGGCTCGCTGATCCTGGCCATCGTGCAGGTGATCAGGGTCATCCTGGAGTACCTGGACCACCGGCTGAAAGGTGCTGGGGTGGGCTGGGGTAGCAGGGTCTCAGCAGGGACCTCAGAGCGATCCCACCCCTCTGGCCCCGGTGCTGAGCCCTCTCCCTGCGCCCTCCAGCCGCCGAGAACAAGTTTGCCAAGTTCCTGCTGAGCTGCCTCAAGTGCTGCTTCTGGTGCCTGGAGAAATTCCTCAAGTTCCTCAACAGGAACGCCTACATCATGGTGAGGGTCACCCTAAACCAGCTCCCTCCAAGGGCTGGGGCTGCCACGGGGGCAGCTCGGAGATTTGCCTGGGAATTGGGTCTCCTGATGCTGTGGGAACACTGAGGTTTGAGGAATTTTTCAGCTGAAAAATTCCTCAAAAATTCAGGAATTTTTGGCTGAAAAACCTTGGCCTCGCACATCCTGTTGGCTTTGGGGAGGACCTTCTGCGGGTGTGGGTTATTCAGCTCTGGGTCTCTGCAATGAGTGAGGGGTGAGAAGGCCCTTGCAGGGTGGGATCTGCACCCTCTCCCCTGGCCGGGGGTCTCAGTGCTGCCCCGTTTCTCTCTCTCTCCTCTGCGCGGCTTTTCCGCCCCAGATCGCCGTCTACGGCACCAACTTCTGCACCTCGGCGCGGAACGCGTTCTTCCTGCTGATGAGGAACATCATCAGGTGAGATGCGGGCGAGTCACCTTGCACACACCATTTGGGGAGCAGAGACAGAGGCTCATCCCCCTCTCGTCTGCAGGGTGGCCGTGTTGGATAAAGTCACGGATTTCCTCTTCTTCCTCGGCAAGCTCCTCATCGTGGGAAGCGTGGGTGAGTGCTGCCTTCTGGAAGTTTCCCCTCAAATCACCCCTCCCGTGAAGGTGCCCCTTCCCACCTTGCCCACTCTCATCCACCCCCTTGCTCTCGCAGGGATCCTCGCCTTCTTCTTCTTCACGCAGCGGATAAAGCTGGTGCAGGACACGGCGCCGCCGCTCAATTACTACTGGGTGCCGATTCTGGTGAGCTGCCAGAAATAAGCTGGTTAAATTCTGGTGAGCT